GGTAATAATTTGTTAAAGGTTTGAACTAATGCTCATGAAACATATTATTTTAAGAATTCAATTAATATTATTGCATTATAATCTTTATATAATTAAGAAGGGCTCATATTGTAAAAAGGTAAGATTATATTATATTTTAAATATTGGTACCTTACATTTGAGAAAAATAACTTTGATTAATATATGAAATGACTAAATTGTTATGAACTAAGAGTTCATCGGGGGGAAGTGTGTTAATATTATTTCTCCATACTAATTATAATTTCTATAACTCAATAGATGGCGCTCTGCGCAGCAATGTAAAATCAGTTAGTTTCTAATCAGTTTCCTCCATGACACTGTACCATTATCATCATCCTTCTTGTTATTAAATATATTTTATGTTAAAAGGCGTTTGTTATGATTGAAAACCCCGAGATCTGAGATCATATCACCGTATTTAAAAAGGGTTTTGCAAACCTAGGTACGTGTCCACGTCTGGAGGAAAGAAAAAAATAAAGTTCATGTAAATCAATAAAATTACAATTTCAAGAGAAATTTCATTAAAATTGTAAAAAAATAAATAAATAGATGAAAAAAAAACAGAAAAAATTTTTATTCCAGGAGAAACTTAATATATTTAAAATCTGCTAAGTTAAACCGTATTATTGTATTTTTTGAACTATATTATTAAGGTAGCATCATGTTTGAACCCTCAAGTACCGCTATTATGGTTCAACATTTAGCCATGAATTTTTGAGTGAAATTTTAGAGAAATATTAACAGTTAAATGTCAAAGGGGTGAAATTTTATTTGTATTTTTTTTTTAAATTTTCATAGTCAAATTCAGGAACTTTAACAGAATAACTGAGAAAAAAGATATTATGAAATCCTGTCATAAAAAAATCACTCATGAAAATATGCTACAAACTTGTTTTTTTTTTTTTTTTTAATTTTTTAGGAGTGAATATATCAATACATTGAAATTGGAAAACAGAAGGTACAATTTCTATCAGGAATAAGAAAATTCACAATATTCACATTTAGTGAATTTTTGGCCAAAAATTCTCGATAAATAATGGCGTTGCAATTTCAGAGCAACTTGGAAAGATGATGTAGTTGCTCTGGAATATTTTATTTATTTTATTTCATTTTTTTTCCATTTATTTTTTCATTTATTTTTGTAAATAAGTACAATTTTTGAAATTAAAAAAATTGTTTTTATCAATATTATTGTTTTAATAAGTCACAAGGAATATTACAAAAATAAGCATGAAAAAAAATTACGATTTTATTTGAGTAAAAATATACCCGAGTGAGTAAATATTTACAGAGTAGCAATATTTTGGGAATAAACTCTATAACTTTGTACACGAAATTTATCATTGTGCTTTTAACATAAACTATACAACATACCGTAAATTTGTGGTTTAGCAACAATATTTTTGGATTTCAGCATAAATTGATAATAAATTTTAATGAAAAGGAAATTATACGTTGATGTAAGTTAGGTTCTAGTTTACAAAAGAAGAGTTTAACATGAAGTAACATATTTATAAGCCATACTATTTCCGAAAGTGACAATTTTTACTCAAAATCTTTTATCAGTGTTGTTTCCATATAAGCACCTTAGCAGTGTTTTTTTTTCCTTCAAAATTTTCAATAGATAACGCCGTCAATTCACAGACATATACTATTACATGATGGCCACTTTCTAGAAAACTTTTAAAACTGATAGATAAGAATCGAGGAAAAAAAAATGTTAATCTCATTATTATCAACCAAGCATTTTTGCAAGTTAGACACCTGTGTCATAACTGGCTGGCTGAATTTTTGAGATTGACGTAAAATCAAATTCAGGATTAGTCTATAAGACTTTTCAAGACTACCCAAGTCTTTTTGATGGTTTTTCATAGATGAACCAACATAATCTTGAGGATAACCATCAATAATTTCATCATGAACCATTATATTTTTGATAGCAACCACCATAAACAACCATCACTCCAAAGTAGAAATTCGGACTGCTTTATAATGGTCCAATATGAGAATAGCAACTTGTTTTGATGGTTTGTTTAACCAACGGAATCATGTTGAACCATCAAAAATTCCTATTAAACCATCATGTAAATGCATAGTTGGAACCATCATGGATCATCATGGATTGTTGGTCCAAGAGAAGCAAACTTCTTTTGAAAGCTAATCATCATAGTATTAAAATAGCATATTCCATCACGGAATGATGGAAGTTTGTTGGCATATCAAAAACCATGAACGCATAATGGAAAATGTTGGAAGATAGTGACCATCATGAATAACACTGAAAACAACATAAACCATCAAAATGTTTTGATGGTGCCACCTAAAATTTTCACTTGGGTACTGTGAGAGTTATAATTATATAGCCCTAAGCCCTTACATTTACTTCTTTTAGCAATTTGAAAACAAAAACTTCATTTAATAAATTTCAATTTCTTACCTCAGTTATGCTTGAGACTTCGCATTGAAAATACACTGGTATAATAACGCTTGATGATATAAACATTCCTATGGGTATCATAAAAATAGTGATAATAAAAGCAATACCATATTTGTAAACTTCAGCTGGCGATGAAAGAAAAGAAGCCGTGGATGTTAAAGTGACAATGATGGAAAAAATGACAGGAAATTTTGCCATATTTTTTCCTGCCAAGAAATAATCCGAAGATATTTTCTGCTGACCTTTGAAATACCTTGCACATAACCCTATCCCAGCTGATAACAAAAGTGTCAACGAAATAATAACATAATCGGCTACACCAAGACTGTATTTTTTAAACATTTTGATTTCTTTGTCTGATTTCAAACTTTTGCGACTTGCTCTAGCTTATTAAATGCGGTAAAAAGAATCCTCTGGTAATGAGACGCTGAAAAGAAATTAAGTTCATTTGAGGGAGATTTATGTTCGTAAAAACATATCATTTCTCATAATTATTACTGTCTTATTCTCATTAAACGTTGTTTATATTGATAACACGTGGAAGAAAATGCTATAAACTATAAACTCTAAGAAGGTAACATTTTTTGCAGTTGTTTTTTTATTTTTTTTTCAATAATTAATTTGTCTTGCATTTGAATATCAATTGAAAGAATAGATATATACTGTGCGCTGTTAAATCGTAATTGATATGTTTTAGAAATAGCATCCGTTATTTGAACCACAGCACTATAAATTTAAAAAAAAACAGACAAACTACTATTCAGGCTAATATGACAGTAAAATGCCATTCAAAATTTACTGTAAGGTTACAGCTACTATTCAAAATTTACAGTAAACTACACAGTAAAAGTGATCTATATTAATATAAGAAGCGGTTTTCATCTCCTCCATTTTGTATCGAAAACCAGTTTTTTTGATACATTTTAAAAGTTTGCGTGATGGGCTGAAATTGAGGTTAGTGCGTTATCTTCTTCAGCGGGTTACAAGAATTGAACCGTATCAATAGCTGATTGGTTATTTTTTGATGAAGTGTCATCTCTCATTTTTTATATATACTGTACATTTATTCAATAATTATTGAACTTTAGTTTGGAGCTTAACTTGAATGATATTACTCTGAA